TAATTGCTCCAATCAACAAACTGTCAAGATGGGACTGCACGCAGAATCCAATACACATCCCACTACAAGTTTTTTAATTAGGAGACCCAAATTTCAATTTTAGTTTTTGTAAGTTTCACTGCACCTGCAACACAAAATGGGTCAAAGAGGAGCCAGAGACGTGAGGCGTTACTAGTAGAGGTGGGCAAAATCCGGATAATCTGTAAAGATAACCGGATCATTCTCAATGAAACATCTTCCGAGTTCAGACTCGTAACTCTCTTTCCTGAGCCCCATTTGCCGAAGTGGGTGCACCCATTTGCTGAAGTGATGCTAACCCATTTGTCGAAGCGGTTCAGAGCATAATATTTGCCGAAGGGGTGCACTAACATATTATCCGGATTTTGTTAAAGCGACTCATTGCGCCCAGCCCTAGTTACTAGAGAGTAACAAAAGAAAGAGGGAAGAGAGATAGTTTAGTTCTAGTAGAGGTTTTACGGCGCTCACAACTGCATAAGGTCAAATGAGCGCCAGAAGATTAGAGGTGTTACAAGAGAGTAACAAGCATAAAAAAGAAGAAGGGGAGATAAGGACAATAGATGTTTGATAGGAAAGAAGGAGCAAACTACATTAGAACACCCGTCAACCATCCACTGTCAACAAGAAATTTTACACAGAATCTAAGAGATAAACCGAAATAATTTTTATGAGGAGATACAAATTAAACCAAATAGATAGATAAAATTGTACAAAGTTATCATAATATTGTGTACCAAAATAGAACAGAAAATGACCCAAGGAAATATTCCTTAAGCTAACTATAAAAACCGGCTCCAAAAATAAATCGGTGAAAATGTTTTGGCACAATCTCAACTAACTACACTTCAAGTATCCAATGACTATCGAAAAGGTAGGCCAAAAAATTATAAAAGTCAACGCACAGAGGCCTCAACAAGCAATAGACAGATCTAAAACTATCACGCAACAAGCAATAGACAGATCTAAAACTATCACGCCCATTATTAGACTTTAAAAAATTATGACATTAGAAAAAAGCACAGGAAATTTTTTTTTAATAGACAAAGAATAATATAAAATTTTGGGTTTCTTAATTAAATGTTAGTTGCTTTGCTGTGAGTGGTATGGAAAGCCAAAAAACTAATTAGGCATCGCTGTATAATATAGTAGTCTAATCGGCCAGGAACTAAAATCTCATTTCAATACTGCATTACCTTCCCCACCACTGTGATTTAAGTCCTTTACCCCCCCCCCCTCCTCCCGTACCCCAACTCATCCTTCACAACAGAAGAAAAATGGAATTAAATAATAAAATATGTGCAAAAATAGTTAACATCTTTAAAAAAATGCATCCCTAATCTAAATTAAAACTTCCTGATGGGTGTATTTTTTTTTTTTTAAAAAGGTGTATAATCATTCTCTCTCCCCAAAACAAACACACACACACACACACACACACACACACACACACACACGTTCACACACACACACATTACAAAAGTACAGCCTCCACACACCCTCTACACTTGCAAAGTGCAAGATAATGGCTCAACCAGATCCGTTTACACAATTGCACAGCTTTCCCTCTTTACTTGTAGTCAATAAGAGACTACGAATATAGGAATTTAATTTTTACGTAACACGGTACAAAGTGATCGGTACTATACAACTGAAGAAGTACAACTATCTTCATAAAAAGAAAACTAAAAGTTAAAATATTCTTTATTAGTGTATGCTTTATATGTATCAAACAGTGTTATTATTTGTTTTAGTAAGAGTTTTATGGCGCTCGCAACTACATAAGGTCATAATATGAGCGCAGTGTTAGTTGCGCAAAGCTCCAACAACCAGACACTTCCAACACTTTCACACAATAAGATCACACTCTCACTTGTCCACACACAACAAGACCACATTCTCACTTGTTTCACCACATTCTCACTTGTGTCAACTCACATTTCCTACACTGAGTATACATGTGTATTATGTGAGACTCGAGGTAACTCACAATCATTTTAGAAGTCACAAAATTATAGCTCTTTTCTTGAAATTGTTTATGTCGGAAGAAAAATAAAGAGGCGGGTCATATAATTAGTTTTGGCAATGGCAAAATAGATGGAAACAGATGGAGACGGACAGAAACTGATGGAGACAGTTAGAAACAGATGGAAACAGATGGAAACAGGTAGAAATAGATGGAAACAGATAAAGGAAACAGATAGAAACTGATGGAGACAGAAGAATCATAAAGAAGAAAGACCAAACAACCACATCTCTCAACCATCAGCTGAAGTCTTTTAGTTTTTAACTTTTAGTAAGGTTTTACGGCGCTCGCGACTGCATAAGGACATATGAGCACCAAGGGGTGGGCGTCAACAGAGAAGTCCTTACAGGGAATCAGACTTACTCTGCTCACCTCTCTAGCCTCAACAGCACAAAGTCTGCTTTGACTATCAAGGCACCCCGGAAATAGCGGGTCACAATAATGTGACAAACATGCAAAAGAAGTAGAGGAAAATGACAATGTAAGGATTAGGAAAGGAAAAGGCAGCAGTTCCCTGTTGTAGTTCAGGAATAGTTATGGAGCGTGACATTGTTGGATCAGCCCATTTACAATTCTACTGTGCATTTAGAACGAGAAATGTCCCCCCCTTTGGGAATGGCCTAAAGACATTTCATCCCCACCAAATCCCAGTCCAACACAGTGGCACATTGTGCAAGACATCACCACACATGCCAAACACACACATACATGCCTAACACACACACACACATACATGCCAAACACACACACACACATACACACGTACACATTCATGACAAACGCACACACACACGTGCACACACATGCCAGCCGCAACATAATGGTGAGAACGGCAATATATCTACAGATACATGTGTACATCCATACAAGTGTACATCCATACATGTGTACATCCTGTCAAGCACTGCCCAATGCAAGGGGTAGTCTCCCACAATTACCTGTTACAGCCACAACCACACAACAAACGGACGACAAGGTGCCAACACACATTCATAGTCAAAGCAGACTACAATTCTAGTCAAACAAATTGTTGTGCTACATATGGATGGAGGGGGGGGGGAGGGGTGGTGTGTTATTTTGTAAGAAAAACGAACAGACTAAAAATCTGCGGGTACAGTAGTTCCATACAGGGGTTGGTTAGGTATCTAGATGCGTGTACAGCCAAAATCAAGCTCAAGACACAAAAAAATAAAATGATTATAAACAAAAACACAATATAACCTTGTCTTTGCTGCCAAAGTCCTCTCTCAAACTCAAAAAGACATCCGAGCTGCCTGACCTGACCTGACTCAACACCCACCTCCATCAACAAATCCTTTCTGGCAACATACCATACCCTCAGAAAGACAACATTTCTGACTTCACTTTTTGCGAGAACTGAGTCAATTACACCTACAAGGCCATTTCAAGGAAGCTGAAACTACTACACTGACACAAATAACGCAAGAATAATAACTTACTAAATAAAACTCTAAGCAGTGATAGTTCCATTCTTTCTTTTAAAATCTAGTAAAGGAATGATGCCTCTAACCAAAAAAAAAAAGAGGCAAAATGACTCTATATCATTGCTGTGATTGCTTTTTTTTTTCCTCAGCTAGTTATCATCTCTACAAGGCGAGCATCACTTCCGTTTCCCTTCCTGGAATGACCCTACACGTTAATGACACGGATGTCCTGCACGCTGTAGCAAAAGTTTGGAGGCATTTTTTCTTCTTTCAGTTTGACGTTTAACAAGTACGGCGTCAAAACATTTTAGCCGTAACAAGAGAGTGAATCTCTGACTCCCATTATCTGGAGGTGGGCAAAGTCCGGATAATCTATAAGGATAACCGGATAATTCTCAATGAAACATTACCCGAATTCAGACTCTCAACTCTCTTTCCTGACCCGTTTGCCGAAGTGGGTGCACCCATGTGTTGAAGTGATGCTAACCCGTTTGTCGAAGTGGTTCTAACCCATTTGCCGAAGCGGTTCATATCATATTATTTGCCGAAGAGGTGCACTAACATAGTATTCGGATTTTGCTAAAGCGACTCATTGCCCAGCCCTACCATTTTCTGGAAACTATGCGTCATGGAGTTTAAAACCCTGTCACTCTACGCGTGCAAGATGCTTGACGATGCTATCCCACCACTTTGCCCAAATGTCAACAATCTCAAACCTTGATGACTGAAGGCCTTCAAACTGCCACACGTTAAAAAAAAAGGGAAGGAGCTCTATGATGAGATATTCAGTACTTATTGCAAAAGACGTGAAAGCATGATTTCAAAAACAGAACATCTTTTAGAAAAAAATTTAGAAAAATGATCCACTGGGCCGATAACTAGACATGCGTCATGTCCAATTGAGGCCATCACTGAAAAGGAAAAAGAGAAAACAGAAAAATTCTACAAGACTAACTTTGTCAACTTTGTTGAAAACATCACAACAACTGTTTTGTGCTTTTCAACCACTGAAAAAAAATAAGAAGCCTGTGTTCCCTTCTCTTTCTGCAAGGGTCGTCCATACCCACAGCACAGAACTACTCAGAACAGAAAACAGGCTTTCGACAGCGTTTACCAAATTTTCCTTTTCAGTGAAACAAACCTCCTTTCGACCACCAGCACGACATTTGACTGCTACTGAAGCAAAACTGAAAAGTGCCATGCAGCTCAACTAAACGCCTCCCTCAAATTAAAAAAACCAAACAAATTAATAAATAAAGTTAAAAAGCAACTATAGGAACAAAATGCTACAAGACCGTAAGTTCTTTGCCAGCAGGACAGGACCATCCAATGTTATGAAGAAGGCACGAAGACGCAAAAAAAAAATGTCCGCACACACAAAAAAAAGCTCTGCGATATACACGGCTGCTAGAAAAAACTTCACACCAACTAAAAACTGAATTGTGAGGGTGAGACGCAAGAGAGAACACCCTCCTTGGCGTGTGTGCGAGGGGGAACGTTGTTTGTATGCACACCTTCTCGTATCTTGGCTTCCATCCGTCGTCTTCCAGGGGCAACGGGGACGCATTTTTACCGTATAACGAGGTGGGTAGGCTAGTTATCTGCTTTTTCACGTTCATAAACTAGGAAAAGGAGGAGAGAGAGAGGAGAGGGGGAGGGAGGGAGGGGAGGGGGGGCGAGGACCAGACAGAGGAAAGTGTCAGAGAGAAGAGGAAGGGGGAAAAAAACAAAACAACAATAAAACATTTGTGTTCAAAAGCCTTGGCACTGTAGAAAAATCTGCGAAAAATGTACAGATCTGTGGACAATTGGAAGTATCAACAGGCATAAAGAGTGAGTCATCATCTGAGACATTGCCTCGATGACCAGAAAACAAAGTCAAAGTACGTGCTAAGCAGACCTGTAGAAAACTCAGTTCACATACCACACGTGTCCCTGACATTAAAAAAAAAAAGATTAACTCTGTTTCACATAGTTTAATACAATTAGAAAAAAAATAGTTGTAATTACTCATTCTTCTTGATAGTGACAATATTACTTGTGAATCTCTGACTCTATTTCACATTGTTTAGTACAATTAGAAAAAAATAGTTGTAATTACTCATTCTTCTTGATAGTGACAATATTACTTGTACAGTAAAATCTATGACAGTTTCCAAAAAAACAATATGTAGTTTTCTTAATAAAATTAAAGACTTAACAATGCCAGGCTCCTAGAAAGCTGTACTGTACAATACAGAGGAATAATTCAGTACCTATCGTAATACGTATATATGTGCACAGTAAAAATACACATAAAGGGTGCGACCTGTTCTCAGAGGTTACATCGCTAACATTCCAAAAAAAAAAGAGCAAATATTCTCACTATATGACATTGACAAACAGCCGCATCACAGCTCAGGACATATAACTTGTAGGTACACTCACACTATAGCATCACAGGTCATACATTGAACTTGTAGGTACACTCACACTATAGCATCACAGGTCACTAGAATGAACTTGTCGGTACATTCACATTATGACATCACAGGTCACTAAACTGAACTTGAAAGTACACTCTGACTATTCTTAGTTTAGTTTTAGTAGAGGTTCTAGGGTGCTCGTAACTGCATAAGGTCATATGAGCGCCGGGGGGTGGATGTCAACAGAGAAGCCTTTACAGGGAATCAGACTTACTCTGCTCACCTCTTTAACCTCAACAGCAGAAGTCTGCATCGACTTTCAAGGCACCCCGGAAATAGCGGGTCACAAGAGAGTGACAAACATACAAAAGAAGTAGAGGGAAATGACGATAGTAAGGATTAGGGGAAAAAAAGCAGCAGTTCCCTGTTGCAGTTCAGGCACAGTTAGGAGCGTGACATTGATGAATCAGCCCATTTACAATTCTACTGTGCATAAGAACATGGTTAATATCCCCCCCCCCCCCCTTCGGAAATGGCCTAAAGACACTTCAGTCAGTGGCACTGCCCCGGGGGTTACTCTATGGCACCACAGTTCACTATACTGAACTTGTAGGTACACTCTCTGACTATGGCACTGCTGCTCACTAGAATGAACTTGTCGGTACACCCTCTGACTATGACATCACAGGTCACTATACTGAACTTGTAGGTACACTCTCTGACTATGGCATCACAGTTCACTAGAATGAACTTGTAGGTACACTCACACTATAGAATCACAGCTCACAATACTACTTCCTATAGCATCAGAGCTCACAAGACTAAACTTGCAGGTACACTCAAACTAACTATACATCACAACTAACTATACTAAACTTATAACAGCTATCAGACTTTGGCGTTCCAACTCAATATTGACTACACTGAACTTGTACGTAAACCCAGACTAAAGAATTAGCAGCTTACTACACCCAACATAGAAGTATACTCAAACTCCTATGTGAGGCATCGTGGCGAAATCAGGCGCTCGTCAAAATAATAAAATCAAAGAAACCGGCATTATTCTAGCCAGTGAACAAATTTTTTACAATTTTCATTTTTTGGCTTGACACTTTTTATATCCATTTAATCATAACTGCCACATCTGTGCCACCATTTTCCAAAGAGGAAATTTACTCGTTTATCCGATCCGTACGCTTTGCATAGCAGTCTATCAAAACGTTTTTTTGAGAAATACTGAAAGTTTCAAAGAGATCTTCGTACTAGAAGTATTCTAAAAAGTGAAAAATACAACCCCGGGGGTACAAAATTACCTCAGGGCGTACGGATAGGGTTAAGCAAAATTTGTTCTTGGGTCAACACTTGGTCTACACTATCGTGAGGGCAACAGGACTAACATCCACCTAGTTTTCTTTCAAAAAATCAAATTTAGAAAAGACTTCAGGGGAATTTTCCCCCCAAGGGACTCACAAAGCCATGCTGCAGTGGCCACAACATGCTAGATAACTAATACACACTGACGTATACACCCGTACGCACACACACACACACACACACTTGTCCCCTTACTGATCCTCTTCAATGTCTATATTTCACAAAAATCAACACAACCAATTCAAAATTAAAACAAAAGGGGGAAAATAAATCTGCAACCATGTTGGTCTCACTTTGTCGTAGAATGATACAGAGTCTAACACATTTAATTTCTCAAATAATCCACTGGTTTTAACCCCCACAAATTCTTTATTATCAAATAGAAGCTCCCC